GATTCTCAAAATTTTTATTTAATAACATTAAATTAATAATCAATTTTCAAAATTCGAACATGATTACACATACACATTTATGACGTACACATATCACAATGTAGATATGCTTCTATAAAATATTTTTAGAAGGTTCAAATACTGGAAAATTAATAGTGTATCATGCATACTTTATACTTCCTATGCATTTTCGTACGATTCAAGAACTTAATCACAATATTGCAAAATTATTAGACTATAAAATAGGGAAATCAAGTACCGAAACAAGAAAATGACAGAAAGGTAAAAAATGTTTGGACAGGCTTACGAGGCTAAAAAATTGATAAAAAATATTTTTCTGTTAGAAAAAATAAAATATTTAGATAACACACTTACTACAATTATAAAATAAGAAGACCAAGCTTGGAAAATGAAAATTTGTACAGAATTATTAGCAATTTCTTAATCCTGTTTGCCACCCCTTTGTGATTCGCTTCTCAAAGCGGAAGACATGGACAATATGGCGATCTCAAAAGGGCGGGTACTTCCTGTTTTAATAATTTTTGAAGGTTAATTTTTCTAAATTGATGATACTTTTATGTTTTAAACTTATATTTTCTGATCTACTTAATCTTTATTTCTAGTACAATTTGTTAATTATTTAAATATTTCGAATTTCTTAAATTGTATGTTACTTAAATAACCTTAGAAAAAGACAATACTTCATATTCTGTCAGTAAAATTTATTTCAGATAAATGAATGTGTCCTTAATACGTTTAAAGTGAAGAATACACACAACAGTCTTCTATTTAGTTATTGTATACATTTGTTAAGAGTAATAAACATTACCCCAGACTACAGTATTACTTTTATATAATAATTATCAATTTGCATTATTCCTTAAAATATGTTGACAGGATTCTATTAATATGTCTATACTGTTTTGGTTTCTAAAATTTGTCTTACACTTTTGAAGTTTCTCATATAATAGTTGTGGATGTATTTTTGCTAATACTTTCAAGCTACCTAAAAAATCTCATATATAAATAACATTTCAAGTTTGATATTATTTTCAACTACACTTTTAATTAAAATATTACCTAATACAATATTTTGAAATTCAACTTCTGGATCATCCAAATATATTATAGTTGTAGTATATAAAGAATCTATATGTCCTTTATTAAAGTATATGTCATAATTCTCAGGTATTGCATTCCACACTTCGGTTAAAGCTTCTAATGATATTATTCTAACATCGTCACATCCATCATCTAGTCTTTTCAAAAGTATGGGATATATTTTATGTATATATTCATCTGTGAGATGATCCAATTTTTTCTTAATATACATTATTAGATATATTGCTCGCAAAGAATAGAATCTACATTTCTTTGAATTATCATCTGCAAGGCTGATTAAAACAGGAATTATTTTATCAAGTACTAAAGAAATATTTTGTTCACCAAGATATAGAGTTTTCTCTATATTCAGGACTTTTTCATATTTATCTAAAAAAATACATAGACAAGATATTGTAGCAGTACGTATAGCTTCAGCACTCCGTCCTGCTCTCCAAATTAATCCAGGAAGTATGCAATTTTCCAAAAATTGATTTGAAAATTTTAGGTCTATAATTTCATTCAAAGACCCCTGACAGAAATATTCTGATAATAAAATAAAATATTTTAATCTCACTTCAGGATCAGTATCATTTGTCATAGTTTCTTTTAAAATTGGCAAAATAGTATCCATATTATAAGCCAAAATATGTCTAATATAAATTAAACATGCACAAAAAATTTGACATTCTGGGCTGTGAATAGACCATGATTTATAATCAGAAAGTAATGAAAATAATGTGCTGATGTTTTCATGATAGAATTGTTCAATATTATTGAACAAATTAATATCAGCAAGAATATTTAATAATTCTTGTGCTTTTAATTTTATCAAATTTTCTTGTGCCATGGATTGAACAGTGAATATTGTTAGAAACAATTCCTTTGATATAAGTTTACAATCCTAAAATTTTTTAAATATATTAGTGTAAGAAATAACAAAATTAAAATGTATAGATATTTATAAAGTAAACCTCTTTGCACGTTGAAATTAAAGAAGAACAACAAGAAAGTATTTGTTTCTGGTATATCCTCTTTTTACTTTGACAGATATGTGGTTGTTGTATAAATTTTCCAATATCTTCTAATAAAGGAAGAAGCTTACAACGCTCGCTACCTTTTAAAATTGCAGAAAATACTTTCAAGTGACCTGTAGATGGAGTCTCTTCAAGAGTAGGTATTATTAAACGACAGTAGGTTTGTGGAGGCACAAAATACCCTAAATATTCTGCTGCTTTTTCTATATTTTCTACAACTCTGTTATCTTCATCATTGCAGGCTCTAATGGATTGTTGTTAATTAAGAGCATGATTACTTTAAAATTATTTTGATAATTTACACTTTAAAAGTTTTATGTTTACTTATACATAGGAGGAAGGAGTTTTCCAATATGCTGTATTACATCTTCTTCTATGTGTAAAATAAACACACAAAGTAATTGTGCAGTTCGTATCCTTATGTCTACAATCCAGTCTCCTAATTCCAAACTGATCCCATTTATCAATTTACTGAAGGATTGTTGTGCTATTACACGACAACCTAAATTTGGTCTGATAACTGCAAAAGTATAATAATATAAATATGCATTGTATTTGTATACATTTATAATTATATTTGTATTTTATTTAATATACCATTAGGATAATGGTCACGATCTTTGGTAAGAAAATCCACTGTATTTTTCAATTTTTCATTATCTTGATTTTCTGCTATATATTGTTGTCCTATAGCATTCCAAAAGTCTGCAGCTTTTTGCCTAATATTCTCTAATTCATCATGAAGACCTGTTAAAAGCAGTGGAAGAATCTTGTGCCACCAACTGTATCGATCTCTTAGTTTCAAAAGCCAACAACCTGCTATTTCTATAGTAGCTGTCAAATATTGTAATAATTTTAAATGTATATATATTGTAATACATT